TTATTTTGCTCAGCATAATCCACTCCAGTTACATCTATGTTGCTGAAAAATGACAAGAGTTTATCTTTTCTTTAAAGCTGAGTAATATTCCATTGTGTATATAGACCACATCTTCCTAGTCTACTCATTTATCTTTGGGCACTTAGATTGTTTCTACAGCTTGGGTATTGTAAATAGTGCTGCCATGAATGGAGGGATACATAGGAACCTTCAAACTAGTGTTTTTGCATTCCTTGGTAGATACCTAGGAGTGGATTTGCTGGATCATATGGTAGTTCTATTTGTAATATTTCTTGGAACCTCCATATTGTTTTCCTAAGGGGTTGGACCGATCTACATTCCCACCAACAGTGTAAGAGATTTCTTGTTTTTGAATATTCTTGCCAACTGTAGAGTAAGGAAAAATTTCAGGCTTTTCTGCCCTCCCGCCATCAGGATAGATGATGGATCCTTGCGGTCCTGAATGCATGCCTGATGGCGGGCACCTGGAGTAGGGTGTGGGCATAGGTAGATGGGATTCACCTGGGCTGAGACTGGGCTTTTAAGGGTAGCGTCACGGGGACCCCAGGAGAAGCCGAAAGAGAAACCGAGCAGAAGCCGAGAGAAGGCCAGAGAGCCCACAGAGTGAAGACCTGCTGGGGGCTGGGAAGACTGCCAGCTTCCCGCCCCCCCAGCACCCCTGCCTGCCATATGCCTGGTGAACCCCAATAAAAGACCTGCAAAAGCCACTAAGGACTCTGACTCCTCCTTTATCCAGTCTGCTGGATCAGAAAACCTGCCCTGTGTCCATTCCTGCCCCTACACCAGCATATGTTATTTCTGGTATTTTTGATATGGGTCATTGTTACAGGTGTGAGTTGATATCGCAATGTACCATTGTAGGTTTTTTTTTAGGTAATGTTGGTTTACATTGTTGTACTTCAGAAGTGTAGGATTCCCCCACCTACCCTGCCTTCAGGTGTAGCTACTGTAGTTCCCCTTCCACCAAAGCACCCCTTGTCCACTGTGCTCTCTCTCCACTTTGTTCTTGCCTCCAACCCCAAGAGTTTTCAAGTTTATCTGAATTTTTGTTTGGTTTCTCTATATTCCACATATAAGTGATACCATCTGGTATTTGTCTTTCTCCTCCTGATTTATTTCCCTTAGCATTATCCCCTCCGGCTCCATCCCATTTGCTACAAATGGCCTGATGATAAGTGATGATGAGGGTTTTTTCATGTGCCTGTTGGCCAGTATGGCTGTTTCTATAAACATTCTGTGTGTATGCAGAAAGAATATAAGTTTCTTATTTGTTGAGCATATAGTTTGATATATTCTTAACAGTTTGAGTTTGGTAGTTATATTTTCATGACCTCCTTACTCCTATAGGGAGTATCCTGTGGGCATTGTGGCCAACAATAAGACCCGTTGCTGCAGGAGATGTCTCAAAGCAATGGAGATGGCAAAGAGCAGAACACAATAAAATTCTTCCTCTCACCTTCTTATAACCTGAGGCTATTCTTTAACTCTGCCACCCCTCCTCCTCAAAATAAACACTGGTTTGAGAAAATTAGCATTTCTCATTTTTTATTTCATTTTTTCTTTTCCCCATCAAATTAAATGCATCTGTCCCCTCTGCTTCTATAGCTCCTTCAGCTTGATATCTGGAGAGGCAAAGGTAGCCCTTATGAGTTTGCCATCTTGGCAGGCCCTACAGTTCCTCAATGCCTCTTCTTTCCCCACTCTCTACCTCTCTTCACCATCTGGCACACAGTGGAATGGGTGAATGAATATTCATGGACTTCACCATCTTATCTATTTAAGCCTTAGTTCTTGAAAACCAATTAGTGGAAGTGGAAGTCTTACTACATACAGTGGCAAGAGCAGCCACGCCTACCCTTACTCAACTCTTCAGCAGGCATCAAATTAGGGCTGATATATCCATTGAGAGACCATGGAAAATTTCCCAAACATGTTTTGTTTCTCAACTATCCACACAAAGACCACATTTGAAGTGGAGGAATTGCAAACCAGCACTGTATGTGAAAAACCTTCTTGCTGGAAAAAGAAGTCATCACTACAGAAAGGAATCTATCAAACTCTAGAAAGATGAATTTCATTTGAAGACCTTACATATTTTCAGTCCTGTTTTGAGAGACAGGATGGGGTAATAGGAACAACCAAGATGCCAATTTAAAAGGCAGAGGCATAGGGCACTCAATTCAAATCAGAGCTCAGCTGCTTAGTAATTGTGTTTGTGGTGGAGAAGTTATTTAAGATGGGCTTTAAAAACAGGTTTAGTTGTTAAAAAGAGTAGGTGATCTACTGCCTATAATTCTGTTTTGCTTACGGGATTTTGATGATGGCATTCCTTTCTTTTTTCTTCTTGTCATCTCTATTTAAGGGATTCCCCCCGCCCCCGTAATTTTAGACCCTGCAATACCCCTCTTATGATGACAGCTTACAGAAGTAGATATCATGAGTACGGTGGAGAAGTGCTATATTAAGAGAAATATTTGCTTCCCTGAGGCTAATGCCTTCCCCTGCTGTGCAAAGATTTTAAGTTTGCAGCCCTGAATGCGTGCCTGATGGCAGACACCTCGAGTAAGGTGTGGTCATGCGTAGGTGGGTACACCTGGGCTGAGAGACTGGGTTTATAAGGGTGGCGCAGTAGAGTGCAGTGTGGTGGTGTGATGTCGAGGATAGAGGAGTGCGGCAGAGAGTGACAGAGCGCGATGGAGTATGGCAACTACAGAGGGAAAAGAGCATGAAGACAGCAGGCCTGCTAGAACCATTAATGAACCTACCTGGTATGGGTTGGTTGCATTACATGGATGTTTACATGGAGGGTCCCTATATGAGAGACTGTTGTGCTAACTTTGATTGGCCAGTCTGGCAGGTTTGGGTGGAGACCAGTTCCCTCATCCATTCTAAAGATTTTCTTTGTTTTAACTGAAATCTCAAATGGTTTCATTGAGTTCCTATTTAGCACCTTACTAGTATACTCTGAGATTTTATTTAGAGGCAATTTCTCCCAATTAAAATAAGCTAATAGGTCTCTTAAATAAAGGGAACTAGAGTGACATGCAAAGCATTGCTGGTCCCTTGGCAAAGACTGAGCGCACAGCTGGAGGGTCCATGGAAGAGTTTCTGGGAAAGTGGGATAGAAGATATAGAATTTCTGTAAATAGAAAACGGACACTGATCAGTGACCTAAGAGAATGACTGGTTGATACTTCAGATAACAGAAAATCTCTAAAATCTTTCAGAGATGTTTGCTAATTCAAAAGGAGGAAAGTATAGTTCCAGTGGCTGTGTTTTCTCTCCTTCAATGCTTCATATTCAACGATTTTGAACAGTTGTTAATTCTATGCCCAAGAGAACAAAAATTGTCAGGACTGTAGTAAGTTCTTAATTTTCAAATGTGGCTTCTCTATCTTCCTATTCCTTCACATGCTCATGTGCTTCTAGTAATTATCTCCCCTTCCCCTAGCCCCTACAAGTTATCTATGGATTAGTTCACTAAAGTCAATTTTACTGAACTTAGGAGGGAGGCATCTTGCTGCAAAATAGTTTCCTTCTGAATTTACCTCGTTACTTTTTAAAATATGACTTCTCATCTTCCCTCTTCATGAATAATCTTATTTTCAACCTTTAAGTATTAACTCCTATGGCAAATGGTTGAACTGTAATCTAGCCAGTGGTAGAACCAGTTTTTTAGACCTTGTCAAGAAATGAGTCCTTACTTAGCCTGAGTGTAGCAATCTTGTGCTGAAGGTGTTTCACTTGAGTTTTCTTACCCAATTTCTCTTCCCAATGAGGAAAGATCACACTTATCTACCACCTCTGACCACATCTGTCAGTTGTCCCTTTGTTTTTCCACCCCAAAGAGATCAGTGGTTATGTTTTAGAGTAATGATTCACCTGGTGGATTCTGAGTTGTACCATTGACAAGGAGTCACCCCTGCAAAGAAACTTTGCTGTGAAAACTATTAATAAATATTTGTTGTATAGCTGAGTGAAAGGTGTATAACATCTGTTGAATAATGATTATGAATGAAGGGATGAATGATAAGAGCTGAAGCTCCAAAATAATAGTGTTTTTGTCACTTCTTTTCCTACATCCTTCCCTCCTTCTGGAAGGAATAGTCTGGTTTCTATGTGTACTCAAAGTCCTATTTTGGATCACTTTGTAGTAGGGATCAAAGTAAGTGAGCAAGTGACCATCTGAATTCAAGTTTTCCTCTTAGAAGTTACATTTTTATGGTTTCAGTGGGAAATTACTTCTGTTCCTCAAGATCACAAGGGTAATAATGTCAATTTGTATTGCCCACTGGAACACAAAGGGAACAATGTAGACCTTTCTGAAAAAGCTCTCAGATCTCATGAGGCCAACAATTTTGGATGTCATCGCTTAGTGTGAAGAACCTACAAATTGCTCTTGTTCCCCTTTATTAGTTTATCATTTAATCCTCATTTTTTCCATTTCATGCTTTTCAGATTTGAAAATTTCCAATAGTGGCTTTTATGCATTCTAATGATATTTAATTAGTGATCATTTATCCATCCTTAGTCTCTCTCCTAAACTATATTAAAAATCAACGATTGTAACAATTCTAATGACCGGGTAAGATATTGGACAGTTCAAGTCTGGTCCCAGAATAATGAAAAATCAAAAAACCTCAAAGAACAATATAAGGAGATGATACTTTTTTGTCCTTGGTTTCTTTGCTGTGCTTCCCAACCTTATGGATATAAGTTGACATTTGTGTGTGGGTTTGGCTTTATCAAGACTACAAGAACTATGCCACAATTTATATCAAATTGAAGACTGAAGACGGTTATGTTGACAGAAATAATAACCTTGATATTTTGCACATGGTTTTCTAGTCTATACTTTTGGCTTCTCTTTCTTGCTGCTGAAGTACAAGCCAGATGGGATGTTAGCAGTCCATGGCTGAAATGGAATGAAAAAGAGGACATGGAATGAACAGGAGGCAAGATGAATGAATGGACAGATGAAGAATATATTTTTTTAGAAAAATAGGCAAATGTACATCTTTTTGCTTGTAACACACTCTGTATTAATTTATACATATACATAGCATAAGCATTTCACATAATTTTGACACTATGTGCAATTCTACGGCAAGCTGTTTGGATTTTTTCAGCCCCTACTATATTAGCACAATAACATCTAGAATATCTTAGCAATATATTATCACATTTGTACTAGAGCTGCCTATAATACTCTGTTTTTCCATGTTGTAAACAAAAATAGGAATACCACTACATAAATACTATGACTGGAAAAATACCTTCTTTTCAACACCTCCCTTACATTCAGTAAAGGAGACTTAAACTACTTAGTATCCAAAATGCATTTTCACTGAAGAAATATAATTTTCTTTGGGTGCACAAAATATGTAACCAGAATAAGTCAATATTTTTTTGTCCTTCCACAACTAAATCATTTCTGAAAGGTAGTGGGATAGGATGACACAGATAAGATTTGAGATTTGGAGGCTTTCAATGTATCTCCTCATTTAGCATGCAAATTATATAATGGTAACTGATTATGTTGCAAATTCACAAATTAATTTCAGGTGCCAGCAATGATACTGGTTCATTCAGGGATTTTCAAAGATTTTTAAGGGAGGAAGTAAAGAGTGATGTGGGAATATAATACTGGGTTTTAATGAGAAACTCTACTATTATCTTAAATGAATTGGTATATGGTCAAACCTGTAGCAGTTACATTTTTTTCCTCTTGTTTTGCTAATAGCAGCAAACAAGAGGTCAACTAGAAACTGATTTCTAACTAGCCCTAGTGAATCTTTCTGGAAAAGACTAAGATCTTATTAAGCTTTAAGCTGGGTGGAAGGCAGTTAATGGACTTATATGGAGTCTTTTAATTACCAGTCTTAAGCAAATTTATCTTTTACTGCTAGATAGCACCCAAGGGCAAGAGGTAATCTGCTTTATAAACCTTGAAGTGTTTTGCTTTATAAATCCTAGAGCTTAGGAAACTCTCTTTAAAGAGAGTTTTCTCTTCCACTAGGAATTATATTTTTGGCAGTTTTGTGAGAAATTTAGTGATGGATTCTTTGTGACCTCCCAACTTATAAACATTAGCCACCAAAGCACATTCAATGTGAAAGTCACTTCCTCAAAGCAGTTAGAAGCTGCCCATTGGACAGGATTATCCAAAACCAAGCTGAGCATACAATGTTAATACACCAATTAATAAATTGGTCCATCTAATGATTCAAGCAAATTGTCTCTAAATTTCATTGTCATTCAAAACATTACATCTTCCTACCAAAGGCAGTTCTTTTTCCACACGTGCTTAGTCATCTCTGTATTAGAAAGTCATTTCATCTTGCAGAGGTCATGTAATTTATACAGCTTACAATTGTGTGGATGGTAAAACATCTGAGTAACATCAGAATTGACTGAAATTAAAAAAATTAAAAATCTGATCTATAGCCAAATACAGAAATATTCTAATTCAAAGTCCAGTTAAAAAGAAAACTATTGACAGCAATTTTAATTTTTCAAAGGTATAAATGGCTCAAGGTTAACAAGGAGCACCCTGTATCTGAACAAGATCAATTTAATTGTGTTTTTGTTGGACACTTTGCTTGCACTACTATGACATCTGCATCTCAGTACTGGATGAAAGATGGAGTTCACAAGTTGCAGTGGGAGACTCCATTCCTAGCCTGTCTCCCACAGCAATAGTACCAAGTATAACTTTCTTCAGATTCACTATGGACAAATTTGCTTAATAATTCTTCACAAATGATATGTTCAGCTCCTGGGAGGATGGGGATCACTTGGAATGCATGGTCTGTCTTTTTCCCAGGAAATGAAGGCTCAGTGATCACGATGCTGCATTTGCTTCACATTCAAGCGGATGACTCTTGCTCAATGATTTCCAGAGCGATGACTTCAGCACCCTCGTTGCCCAGGTTGTTGATGGGCCCATTCCTTGGCTCCTGGTGGCAGATGTAAACAGGGAGGTTGTCTGCCTCGGCAGCAGCTGCAGCAGCGGCAGCAGCAGCAGCAGCAGCAGCAGCGTTGGAGACATGGCGGCTGTTGCCGCTCATCCAAGGCAGACCCCATTGGGTCTTGAGTTGGGCCCATTGACGCTTCAGGGTAGTTTGCACCTGGAAGGGAAAAGGGAATCTTGTTTTCATATAATTGTCAGAAATGACTGGAGTTAAGTTTTTGAACACAATTCTTGGAGTTTATCAGAGGTGAGAGGGGACTGAGTGGTAATTCTGCTCTAAAAGGCTGAGCAATGTATGTTCTGGAAGAAGAATTTGCAAATTGGAGAAGTGAGTTACTTGCCTGAACTATTGTTGACAGGATGGTGGTGTTGGATCATTTGGGAAAAGAAATGAAAGCACCATCAATGGGAGGACCATCCTTCAGAATATGTTTTCAAATACACAAACATTTATTAAGGGTATTAATAAGTACTTGGTATAAGTACTTGGTACTCTCTACTATCGCTGCTCCCTTCATCCCTTACACCACACTCCCTGAAAGAGCCCAGGCTTCCTCTCTATTTTCTGGGCTTTTGCTTTACATTTTGCAGTAGGGAGAGCTACAGAATTCAAGAAGAGAGTAGACCGATGATATCTGAAAGGATTTATATGTAACCACAAGCTGAATATGCGTAGGGAGAGCATCCCATTGAGTAATCTTTCAGATAAAACATGAGAATATTTAGCTTTTTGCCATGTAATGGAATTCCTCCTTTAGCACCTCTTCAAGAACCAAGTAAATATTGAAATGCCTGGAGTAATGGGTTGCAGTGGGCTCTCTGGATTAGCAGCATCAGTATCAGCTGGGAACAAATTCCCTGGCCCCATCCTGCCTATTGCATGGGAAACTTTACTGGTAGGAACCCAGCAGTTTGTATTTAAATAAACTTTCCAGGTGATTCTGATGCACATTCAAGTTTGGGATTCCGATCTAGAGCAAATAAATTTTTAGTTTTGAGTCCTAAAGCTGGTTTTCCTGAGTCTCTACAAAGATAATAGTTTTGAAAACCAGGCTTTATTGAATGGAATAATGAAGTTCTAAATAGAAAAGTGTTCTCTTTGCATAAATAGTAAAAACATTACTGCTTTTAAAATAGAGTTTTACTAAAAGCTGTAATATGTACAATATACCTATTAATCCTCTAGAGCGCTGCCAAAACAACATTCAGCTCTGCCAAAACAACATTCAGGCAAAACCCTATCACAATGTTATCTCAGATGCAGCTGGAAACTAACTTCCTGCAGCTAAGAATGTCCTACCTGAGTTTAATGTTGTAAGACAATACATTCACAGAAGGCCCAGCTGAGACCCAGATTCCTAAAATCCATGTAGCTGTGATATTACTTTTGGCACATAACACAATCTCTAGGTTATTAGAAATGTCACATTTGTACCTTCCCCAGTAACAGGATCCTAATTAAAATGGAGATGGTTTCTTTATTTCAAAAAGACTCCAATGGACTAGAAACATTCAATTGTTGAGAGTACCTCTAGGTGTGCTTTCTTGCCTGTCACTTCAAACATAGCATTATAGTACAGACACAATAAATATTGAGATATTTTTATAAATGCAGGTGATCCCCTCTTGTTTTCAAGTTAGCCCTATTTTGGTATTATTTTAGATGAAAAAATTTATTTTGTATGCCACCTGAAGCAACTCAAAAGGCAAGAACATATATTCACAGAAATTGGAATAAAGATGGGGTGACCTAAGTCTTATTTGTTTTTACTATTTTTTTTTTATATATAGCAAGAGACACTTCAATATCTGGTAACAAAAGGATGTGATTCATTTCTATCTCAGGTTTCTCGTCTAACCCCTATCAATAGTGAACACATGATATATTCTTGCTGAATGAAAGAGAACGTTGATGGTAAATGGATGAAAGAAGGAATAAAAATGTACCAATTAAAAGGGAGAACAGGAGCAACAAATCTTGGGAAGTTGGGGATAGGTCACAGAGTAGCAAAATAGTCTAGAGGCTCACTAAAAATAGATGCTAACTAAAGAAATAAAGAATAGAGACCATATTAAGTACCAGTTGATAACAGTTAGAAAATGTTTCTAATTACTTACAGGAAAATGATATGTTGATCCCTTAATGAAGTGTGGTTTAACTTAGTATAGAACGATTCTTAACAGTTAATTTAAAATATCAAAAATACTTTTATATTCAAAGTTGCTGTGTAACTCAAAGTGTATTAACAAAAAGTCATGGAGGAATTATAGACACAATGCCATGGAAGATTTACTTCGTTGAGAATCAGGAAATTTGGATTCTAGTCCTGATTATACAGCTGTTATTGTGACACTGGGCAAGTCATTTGTTTTCTGCAGCTTAGATTTCTCACCTGAAAAATGTGGGAGCTCTCAAATCATGTTCCCTGAAGCCCTGGAAGTTCTCTGTATGAATTTAAGCAGATCCCCTTTTATGTTTTATAAATTGGGCTCCCAGGGAAAATTTCTTTGGAAGAAAGGGCAATCTGGCTAAAAAATCCTGGAAACACTGGTCATATAGCTCTTCAGATTTTACTCATGTAAATATTCAGAGCATAATTATTTATTGGAATATCCTTCCTTTCTGACTCTTGAGAGTGATTTTCAACATGTTGAGTAAGTGCTATGGCACCAACCAGCAAGTGAAAAAGAAGGCAGTGAGGCAGCTAGATAGTGGCTGTGCCTTAGTGAAGGGCTGGGTCTTCCAAAGGGAATGAGGACAGAATTTCTTTTTCAATGGGCATTCACAATAGCTTTCACTATTCTGCACAGGGTGGGGACAGTCTTAAGGTACAATCCAAGGAAATTAGAATTTTAGCTGCCTCTCTAGATAACACCTGCAAATGTACCATCCAAATGGGGCAAGATACAGTTTGGAGTAGGGTAAAAGACATGAGATCCGGGGAGGTCTACTGTATGGGACCCTTGGAAAACTGGAAAGGGCTGGCTTTATATAAATGAGTGATTGCATCACATGAAATGCATGCTTACCTCATTGTTGCATAAGCAGTAGATAATCGAGACAAAGAATCCCTGAAAAAGAAGAAAAAAAAAAAAGGAGTTATTTTTGTGTGCATTTTGTTGTTCAGTAATCAATATAAACAGACCCTAGAGAGGAGCATTTCACAATTTCAATAGCAAGTCACTCGATGAACAACAATGCAACTCATATGCAGTGTTACTGCAAGAACATTCCATTAGAAATGCATTTTTTCTTATTAAGATCCTATTGTTTGGTTAAATGGATAGCTCAAGTCAATCTGGTTAATATGTTACTGTGTTTAACATGGAGATTTATAGCAGGAAATGCTGATTTTACTGAATTGAAAAAAATTTTGTACTCAAATTTTTTTAAATTGAGGTCTTATAGAGTTTAGTAGAGAAATCTTTTGTAAGTACAAGCATCAGAGTGTACAGCTGTGGGTTTGTCCAAATGTCTCATGGTGAACTAACACAGTATCCGAGGTACAGCTACTCCTCTCTCAAATAAGGAAATGGGCTAAGTAACTTCTGAGGTGCTGGTCACCACTCAGGGGATCTCTTGTATCCAAGCTTTAATTATCTATAGAGAGAGTCAAAGCAGTAGTTCAGATTACTAACATAATCCCTGAGCTTTATTTTCAGCCCTATAAATTCTTCACATTAAACCTCAGCAGTAGAAACTAGAACTACTTTGAAATGTGTAATTCAGAGGGCCAAACTCTGTCCTAAAACTGTGGCAGACTCATTGCATCCTAAGGATTGCCATGTCCCAACCTCCCGAGACAGCCAAGAGACCCCCATTCTCTCCCACACAAAACCTGGATATGCTTCCCTTTATTGTAACAGAACTGTCACATGTGAGTTCCTGATATCCTCCTGAGCTATGGATGCTCTGTGCAAATGCTTTGCACCTCATGAAAAACAATTTAATGTTTATTACTGAAAGGAGGGCCTGAAAATAACTATATGGATGACCAGGGAGAGTATGTCTGGCTGGGACCTGCTGAGAGCCATGGGGGGATGCAAAGGCAGAAGAAAGAAAGTACCTCAAAAAAAAAAAAAAACCCAAAAACAAAAAACTGGTTCCTTTCACAGTTTTAGCTGGGTCCATTGATTTAATTATGAGATTCAGAATGAGATTTCCTGATTTTGTCACTAACCAGAAAAGTCTATTTCTGCACTTTAAGGTAGTCATAATGATATTTACCTAACACACAAAGAGCTTAATAAATGGAAGCCATAATTTTTTAAAAAAAAATTCTGGATTAGACAATGTGAGGATATCAGTCATACCTGTTCTCTTGGGTCTTCCTGACATTGTAGGAATGGTTATATTGGTAGACATTGGAAGGGTATATTTAAAGAGTCGTCTAAGATATTCTGACCTTTCTAATCAGGTGAAGGTAGTGAAATGCAGTAACTAAAAACTGGGCTCCAGCAGGAGGGAAGAATTTCCCAGCTCACGATCAAATGGAGGCAATTTATACTGATGCAAACATCTGCTCCTTTCCCCTTTCATGACAATAGCGGCTATGGGACAGGCATCCACATTTGGGAATCGATAAGCATTGGTTATGTTGACCTTCGAAACAGTCCTCAAAAGCAAACACAAATGTGACCCTCAAGGTACTGGAGAGAGGAAGGAAAGGTTAATGGATGGACCATGAGAACGGAAGTCTTCTCCTTAGTGCTGTGATGGGTTAGTCCCTGGACAAATATTTGTCTTCATAAAGGTATGTTCTCATAGTTCATACTTTCCTTGTTTCTTTTTTAGTGTAATGATTTAAAAAATGGGAAAACAAGCAATGTGAAAGAGAGGAACTACATCCCTTTCAGTTTACATGTATTCTAAAGGGTCTTTCTAATCACAGTTGAGCCTAAGAAAATAGTCACTCTCCATCTACTAGCTGAGCAAATAGTTGAATAAATGCACAACTGGCTTCCTTACCTGGAAATGAATCAGAGAGTGCATCAGGTAATCATAAATTTTCGCAAGTGTCTTGTTGGAAGGTCTCCAGGGAAAGACAACGAACTGGATCCCCAGCAGGGGCACCAGGACCAGAGTGGCCCTCACCGCCTTCAGGTACATGTGCGATTCAGCATGTTGGTTTTCTCTTATTTTTTTCACGAGCACCCGGACAATGTTGAGCAAAAAGAAGAAATTGACCTGCAAAGATAGCATGTTATGAGCAAATCACGTCTGTCACTACCACCTAAGGACACCCACTTTCCTCAGTTATGTTTATCCAGTGTGAGGAGCAGATGCTGCCTATGAGGGAGTAAGAGACTGTCTAGAGATAAAACAATTTAGTTGCAGAAATGTTTATAAAATACTGTTGGGACACCGAGCATCAGTGTGTATAGCCAAAGACTGTTTCCAGAGCTGAATTAACATTTTCGGGTTTTTTTTCCTAAAGGGGAAAATATTTTCCATATGCATGTAGATGTATCAAGTTTGACTCTACTGAGGCTGTTTATTCTTTATTTTCACTTATAATTTTTTAAAGAGAAGTCATAAACGACATATTAGATGTTGCTTTATTGTCTTTTCTTTATGAAGATTTCACCCTTAGCCAGGACTACTGAAAGTAAAATGAAGACAGAAAAATGTATTTGTAAAGTGTGTGTAGTGGAGACAGCTAACTCAGCCTTTTTAAAAATAACACTTTAAAAATATTTAGCATATTCATCAGTAATTTTTTTAATTGAGGCAACATTGGTTTACAACACTGTATATGATTTGGGGGGACAGGATCACATCTCCTGAGATGTGTGTCAATTCACCATCCCAACCACCAAGTTACCCATAGTCCTTTACCCTAGTAGTAATACTTAAAGAAAGAAAATAACTTAATTGGGGTATAATGTACATTAAATAAAATGGATTTTAAGTTTACATTAGAGAATTTTAGAGAAATGGATGCATGTGTTTAACAATCATACCAAACAAAAAAGTATTTCTATCATTCCAGAAATTTCTTTCCTACCTTTGCAGATGAACATCTCTACCCCCAACACACATACTTTAAGCAACCACTAATTTCTGTTAACATAGAAATGGAGTATTATATAGTATGTACTCTTTTGTGTCAGTATTCTTTGGTTTAACATATTATCTGTGAGAGTCATCTATGTTGTATATATTGGCATTCCACTCATTTTTATTTATTACATGAATAATTATATATAATTTGTGTATTCATTCTTCTGTTGATGGAAATTGAATTGATTTCTACAATTTGATTATTATGATGGAATAGGCTATATTTGTAAATAAGTCTTTGTATGAACATGTTTTCATTTCTCTTGAATAAGTTATCTAGGTATGGAATTATTCTTTCATTATATTAAGTGTATGCTTAACTTTATGGAAAGCTGTCAAGCCATTTTCCATAGAGGTAGCCCATTTTATATGTCTAGCATTATATATGAGAATTCCAATTGCTCTCCACCTTTCCAACACTTGATATGGTCACTCTTTTTTAAGATTAACCATTTTTGGTTGGTCATAAACTATTTTTTATCTGTAAAGATAAGTTTGGAAATGGAAGTTGTTTTAAATTTTTAATTGATAATTTATTTTTAAATGATTAGAATGACCTTTCTACTTGGAATAGACGTAAACGTGATTGCCAAAAAAAAAAAAAAGAAGAAGAAAGGAAAGAAGAGAACTTCAGTTATAATAAAACTCTTATGAGGTATTATAAATGTTCAAGACCTGAGTCTGTGGGGCCTTGTGAGGACAGTAGGCTACTAAGTATGACACATGTCTTTGGAGAAGGAAAAAAAAACCTGAATTTGCATTAAAAAGACCAGGAAATTTAGAGCAGTATGAATGATAACCCAATGTGATCAGCTGCTAATGGATGCTTTTTCAACGCAAGAACACAATCTAGACTCAGACGGTTTTTATTTTCCATACGCTTATCCAAGTTAAACAATGACTTTGAGACCAATGGGAAAAATGGCTAAATATTAAATTTGATGGCTCTGATATGTCCAACGTAGAGTAAGCCATTGGTAGAGATATGGAACTTAAAGATTCAGATAGTCAAATTCTTCCCTTGACAATTTTTACTAGTTATGATTTTGGGTGACTTTAGTGGAGTCTTTGGGTCTAGTTTTCCACATGTGTAACACAATCTGTTTTGAAGGATTGGTGTTAGGAATAGTATGTGTGTAAAGTGCCTTTGAGTGATCAGTGGTAGTTGTGAAGATGGTTCATGTAACAAAAATGAAATAAGAAATGGTTTTGCTTTGCAGAGCCCTGGGGAAAAGGTACAGGGGGATTTTGTGGTCTTTTTTACTTTCTTTATTGAAAAGCAATACCTATTTACCATCCCTTAACCCACTGGTATTTGCTTTTAACTAGGAGCATTTAGTTATAGATTTTTTTAAAAATAATATTGTTGTTAATACATGTACAGAAATGAATTTTCACCTCCAATTATATTAATGTCATTTTTTTTTAATTTGAAGACTATTACATCAAATTGTTATCATAGATTATCATTACATTAGCTTCATTTTGAAGCTATGAAACATATGCTGCATTTAGCAATCTGTACAGGGATTCTCACAAAGAGATAACACTGTTAATAATGGATTTAAAAACCAATTCTTACCACTAATGCTGCCATGACAGGGCCGTGGATGATGTAAAGCAACTGGGTCTCCACACTCAGCCAGCAGCTGGAGAAAAAGGGGGGAGGAACACATGAATACAAATGGATTTTCATACAAAAATGTTAACTTAAAATCTACCATAACACTTACTTGTCATTGAAGTACAGCGCCCTAGTAACGGCATGGATAGTGGTTGGCACCAATGGGAACCCTGAAAATGTGAAGAAATACAGATCACACCTGGTTTCTTAGTCTCAGACGTAACTACGGTTACATGGAAAATGGTAGTTTATTTCAAAAATAGTGGCAAGTGTAATGTCTCTGTCAAGATATTTCCCTGATGTTTTTGCACAAATGATCTCTGGTGAAATCAGGTAAAAATGCTCTTGGTTAGAATATCATTTGCTTTCAGAAAGTTTGGTTAAGAGCATTCAGGTAATTAAAAGCCTTTCATAAATTATCCAGTAGGGTAAGCATGTTACTACTCTCATTATGAGTATTATACCATTTTTATGTCAGTGATGATGATGATGATGATGATGGTGTTAATAACTACTAATTGAAACCAGAAAGCTTTTCATTTTGTGTGAGCTGTACTCTTTTTTGGGGGAGGAGATGGGTCAATGTATAGGGAGTGCCCTGGGAAGCAATAGTTGGATTGTTTAGAAAGCAATGCTGTTCATAGTATTTCTTCTAGGCTCCTCCCCCCCACCTGTTTATATTACATACATTGATTCTGTTTTCTTTCAATAAGAACACTTCAGAGTAGCTAACATGTTGCCTACGTTCTGACTGCAGAAACTTTATTAAGGTAACTTAATATCTATCTACTTCCCTGATTAAACTTGAAGAGTTGGTAGAAAAAACAACTTTGAAATTACAAGCAGATCAGTGGAGATAGTTTTTGGCAATGCATTATCTCAGGCTATATCTTTTTATGTAGATGAGGAACAATCACCATAACATTATATTCATTTCAGGTGTACAACATAAGGATTGATATTGTATATACTGTCAAAATGATCACCAAAATAAGTCTAGTTAACATCCATCACCACAAATAGTTAAATAATTTTTGTGATGAGAATGCTTAATATTTGCTCTCCTGGGAACTTTTAAATTGGCAATGTAGTATTATTAACGACAGTTACCATGTGATATAGGTTCTATCTTTTTAAAATGAATTTTCATTTTATAAATGTAATTTAGAGTTGGGTTGTGATTCATGTAGAAAAAAGATTTTCTCTTTTCTCAGATGTACCCATGAACAGTAGAAACTTACTTGATTTAGTTTTGAGGTTTATAGCATTTTTAGAAATTAGCATCAGATTAAGAAATGGGTCTCAAAAGTGAATTTTTTTCTGTGAATGATATGCAAAAAGAAAATGCCTCAAAATAATGAGGTTTCATCTATGAAGGACCTCAACTTCTAAATTCATGAAACATGTAATTCACTAGTAACACTGATTAAATGTTTCAATTGAAGGAATTCTGAGTGTGCCTATTTACACAAAATATAATTGTGTTTTGTTCAGTGTAGTTCTAACATCTTTCCCCTCTTGGTTTTAAGAACAATAACTCATTCTCTGGATTTATTTTGAAATACACATTTTAGAATTAGATAGCGAGAGGGCCATATGGAGATTTCACTCCCATCTCATCGTTTTGTAGTATGGAAAATGTATGTATGATCATTAATATGAAGAGGCAGGTAGATCTGTATCTGCTCATTTCTAGGGCACTTCACCTTCCTCCAGTCACGATGCCTCTTTTCATGCAGTCTGTCTTTTCTTTCTTCTTCCACTTCTCTCTCTGACCCTCAAGAGTCAGAATAACCCTTCTGTCCTACTAACTATGGTGTGGGTTAAAGTACTCTTCTCTCCCTAGGATTCTTTTTTGAAAGGGACTGAATAAATTCTATTTGTTTATTGTAAATGCCCATGGGGAGAATTTCCTTCTTTGATTTCTAAAAAGGAAGAACTAACAAGGCAACAAATCAATCTGAAGAAGGTTTTAAAATAAATGATTTTTTTCTAAGAACTAAACTTCAGCATGTGAAGTTGCTTTGATTTGAGAGAAATCGATCAATTATCAGTCCTGTACAGAATAGGATGGAAGATCCTATTTAAAGAAGTAAATGTTCACTTTCTTTTGAGTAAAATGTCACTACCAGACACTTTTCACTCAGATAGTGATGTCTCTTACAATCTTTGAGATCCTTTCTAGGTCCTGGGGTTGGTAAAATTATTCACAGCTGAAATGAATGCATGAGAGTAGCATCATCTGCAAAGTTAGATCTTAGCACATAGGTTTCTTGGACCAAATCTTCTGCTCCTCAATTTCATACTCCTTTCAAAGTTTATGCCTTACTACTTGATATTGTAAAATTTAATATCATAGTGTTTTAATGTGAAAGTAACCTCAAAAGGACAATAAAGAGGTTATTAAGTAGAATATTATTTTTTGTTCCATTAAATTCTTTTAAAACTTTCTGTGAAACTTTCTTCAGAAGTTATTTTGGTTGTGTTTTTAATTGTTTTCTCCTATTCAAAGATAGTGCTTTAAGTTCAAAGAGAGGGCTATTGCTTTAAAATATGTTATCACAGTTGTCTTTCAAATTTGCTCTCAGAGTTGAGATTGGGTGGTGTGAATTATAAATCTTAACATTCAGTGGCATGGTGTGCACGTGTGTATGTGCATATGCAAAAATAGAGAAAAACAGATTTAGCTCTGGTATGCTAAAAAAAGGGTTTTTCCCAAACATTTGTGAAAATACTTCCAATTCTTTTAAATTGACAATCCTGTTTACCTCACCGATTGCAATGTTTTTTAGGATTTTACTTGACTCATCCTGATAAAGTTTTAAGTATTTTGTGATTAAATACTTAGATCCCATAATTATTTTACTTGTATTCATTACCTTCTTTTTGATGCAGCTGAACAGCTTGTCCCTTTTTTTCCTTTGAATTGTTTATGTGTGTTAAGCAGATGTCTTCATCGAGTTGTCTATGATGATGCCAAAAAGTTTTGTAACTAATTCACAATGCATCATTTGGAAAGAGACATATAAATTGTTCCTTCCATGATGCCCTCATCTCTGCTGAATGTCACAGGCAAGAATAAATTTGCAGTATTTTTCTCCCATGGAAAATTTTCTCAGTGTGGTAGAAAAAAGTTTTTGAATAATCGAAACTGGTACAAAAAGTAAGTTGTACACTTTATTTCAAAGGAAATAATTAAAATGGAATCAGAAATGCTGTGTGTGTGTGTGTGTGTATGTGTGTGTGTGTTTTGTGGTGTGTGTTTTTGTGTCTTCAACTGGAAGACATGTGACCAAGAACTACTGCTATTGTCATGATCAGAATTGCAATTGGAGGCTTTAAAATACACCCAGATGAGTCCTGGCAAGACAAACTTTGGAAGACCAAATCATTGTGACAGTATTATGAGCCTGAGAAGGGCAGGGAAAGAAAAGTTTAGCTTCTGTGGATGGCTGGAGCTAAAAGAAATGAAAAAAAAAAAAAAAAAAAAAGACCACTTTGAATGCACTGTGGCCTATGTTGGAGACAGGGAAGAGCAGGAAAAACTAGTATCTGTTGTGGGTTGAGGAGCATAGTCACAAGACTGATTTCTAATTTCACTGGACTGTTAAAGAAACAGGATGCTGGGCTTGCTCCCTACTCTTGCGGGGCAACAATCTACAGATGAGGTGATTTGGGGTGTCTTCTAGATGGCTGTCTAGTTCACTCCTCTCCCATTTGTTTTGGGTGGGTTACTCATACTCAGACGTGTTTGCATTATATGACAGTGTCCTCCCCCTCAATGTCCTTGAACCATAGTCAGCCCCTGATTTCAGTTAGGTCAATCAGATGTTCTTGGCCTGATATTCAAAATTGGGACTTACAGACAGACATTTAATTTTCTCTGTGTACCTAGAACAGAAAAATATGAACTCAGGAAGCTTTGGGGTAGGCTGTATTTACCATTAGGATTAGGGGAGTAGAGACCCTGTAGTCTATTGCCTGTAGAGAAAGAGAAGAGTTAAAGCATATACTTGGAGAAAAGCAGAGACAAAAGACAGAGGGAGAGTGCTTCTGGCTGGTGCCAAGGTACACCTTTTAGTAGCCTAGTGACATTTTGGACCTTGACTTCTATGAAATACCCTAGATTCTGATCACTTCTCTTTTGGCTTAAATTAGAACATCATATTCTCTGTTACAAGCAACCAAAGAATTGTGGCATCGTTGCTCACCTCTGAGGCACCCAAAATATCTGTCTTATTAATCCACGATTATAAGATTATCGCGTTGTGTTTGAACAATGTATTTGACTAAAATCCATATATTCCTATTAAGGAGGGCTGTTATGGGAATACATACTGCATGGAATCAACCACAATATAGACTGGAAAAGACATTGGGTTCCTTGTATGACTTCCCAGACACAATTCTATAAAGTAAGTAACTGTGCTTTTCAGACAGGGGTTTAAACACAAAGGTTGATGTTTTTAGAAAACCTTTTGGTTAGCTTTCCTCCTCATTAAATCCTTCCTTTCTTATCAATATTTTTAGGGTTCTCCAAAATGCTGCATTAAAGGGCATACTTAGTTGAAGGCAAGCCATATAGGCTTTGCTCCAAGAGTCTTAATTACCCTTTTATGGATAGTGTGGGCAATTTTTGGCTCATCAGTCCGTGTGGAATGGCCCACAGCTTCCTTCTCTGGTATGGGAGTTTCAAGGATGTGTTTTTATTTATTTATTTCATAAGGCAACATGTTTTTGTTCCTAAGCTTTTTCTGTCTGTTTGCCTTACTGTCTATCTGTTCCCCTTCAACCAGAGGGAGCTGGACTTTAGCAGCTATGGGAGATTGCAAAGAGTCATCAGAGACCTCAGCACCTCACCTTAGCAAGTCGTTACAGATGGTACTTCTTAAACAATCTAAATGTAAATTTTCAAAGTCACTACTATGTGCTATGATGTCAGGTAGGTTCTAACTGGGAGGTTGAGGTGATGATGTCTAATGCTCAGCTGGAGTCCACTTCCTGAAATTTCACTGGAGGAAAACTGCTGATGGGTTGACCAGAAGGAATGTTCTTGAAGGTTAGTGGGGTCAGGGTAGAGGAGGTACAGAAGACAATATATGAAATTCTCCTTAATTCTACAAACAGGTGATTAAAAAACTGATGAAGGTCTAATCACAATCAGGACATGTTTTTGTTCATCCATTAGCTGGGTTTGCTTCCTAAGGACATTCTCTTAATCACTCCCTCCTCTGCACTTCCCTCCATGTTCACCATAGTCTGTATGAGCTTAGTAAAGGACTTCCACCAAGTTCTCTTGGAAACTGAGCTCTTTCCACCACCTGTGTCCCACCATGCCTAAAGATGCAAGTTGTTCTGTGGCTGAGACTAGAAGAAGACTGTAAATATTCAAAAATACTCAGCTGAAGAAAATACATACCCCAGCCCAAGAGATAATACCACCGCATTTGATGTTTGTCAGTAAACACAGACACCACAATGAGTGTGTGAAGATAGATCCCTTCGCAGAGCATCCAGAAATAATTGCATGCCATCATGTACTGGTGAAAGAAATGCAAAATCTTGCAGCTCACCTGTCAGAAAGAAATGGAAATACTCAGTGGAAGACATTGGTAAGGGTCTGGCAGTGGAAGAAAGAAATTGTGAAAATGAGCCAAAGGATCTGCTTTCAGCTCACAAGGCAATTTCCCTAAGCATTTGTCAACACATGCCACCCTTATGTCCACAAATCCAAGTGACAGTGATATTACAAGTACCTGGTATTACATATAAACAGCCTACCAGGGCGATGGGGCCATGTTCCCCAAATGTTCTTTTCTTGTTACATTCTGGTGACTTGCACAGTTAGGTTCATTTTCCTGTAATGTGTCTGTAGCTTATAATTTTTGATAGTATTCAAGGAGTCATCAGTGACTTTTATGGCCCTTTTTCTATGGCCAGGGAGGCAAATAATCCGGAGATTGTTAATGCTGCTCCTGAAGTTCACTGATCTATCGATGAGGATTATGTTCCTGCAAGCCTCTGGTTACATTTACTAACCAATCACTGTATAACTTTGTTTTATGGTTTTTTGTTTTTTTTTTTGCTTAAAGACATCTTATATAATACATATTATCGATTTGTTAACATTAAATTCATGGTCAATAGTACTAACCTCTGCCTCAAGGAAGTATCTCTCTGTAAGTCATATCACAATTTATTTGTGCCTCAGAAAACTAGACCACATTTCTGCACTATTTTATTTTTTTATTATTATTTTTCTCTCTGCACTATTTTAAACAGTGAAATCACCAACAGAAAGCCCACAATGAGAAAATATACCACTAAATGGACCATGAAAAGGGCCTGTTTACAGTATGAGAACTGAAACAGGAAGACAGAACATCGCCTTCTTTGACCTCAGCAGGGATTGTGAGTGTGTCAAATGACTCAATTTTTTTGCCTCTGCCCTTGTCTGTGAATGACCATGAAAGCATTGGGGGTATTGATTTTGGAGTTACAAATAATTAGCAAATCAGCACATTTGCAAATATGGAATCTGTGTATAATGAGGATCAACTACATTTGGGTCCAGCGTAAAACACTGCAGTAATAAAGGGCTTGAATATTCACAAAAATTGTGAAAATCACATCTATGAAGTTTTTTCCATATCTCCTGAACATAATTAGATAAGTCTAGAATGTTTACAAGATTGGTCACCACTTAGATCAGTGGTTCCTAACTAGGGCTGCTTATCAGTGTCATTTGGGGAGCACTTACAAAAAATATATAAACAGACCTCATCTCCTTTCTGTGTTTTCAAAATATCTTTAAGGATTTCTAATGTAAATGCCTAACTAAAAACCCTGTACTCAAGATATTCAAGGTCATTTAAGTACATTTAGCACATATTTATGGAGCAACCACTATGAGGCAGAACTGTGTGAACTCTCAGAATATCAAGATGAATAATATATAGTCACATAGTCCCTGACTGAATTATGACCCTTCTATCAATGCTGTTTCTCTTTCATAAAAAAATACTTGCAACATCTCTCTCAATGGTAAAACAGAATATCAGGTGAATATTTTCAAGGTTTTTTTTTTTTTTTTTTACATGGTTAGATAGAGTAGAATACTAAGGAAATTTTAAGATGTTTCGGCTTTGCTTTGCTTTTAAAACAGGCAAAGAAGAATTCAAAATAATAACTACATAATTCTTAAAGGACTTATTCTTTTAGAGTTAGATTAAAATGCATATTTTATCACTTTTTACAGTTTATTTGTGCCTCAGAACACTAGACCACATTTCAAAATAGCGGATAAGTCTATGCAGAAGGTATGCTTGTGTTTTTATCTTGATTCCTGGACTAGGTCCTGGGGTTGCAAAGATAAAGTTTAGTGCTGCAACTAAGAAAGTCACCTTCGGTGAGGAGATAAATGCAGAAACAAATATATGCAACCATACATGATTTCTTAAAAAGGTAATTTCTGCATCCAGCTTTAAGATTTAAGAATTCTTTCTTAGGTACATAACAAAGCCCACTACCTCAATCAGAGGGGATAAATAAATTGGATTGATGGGGTCTGCATTATTAACATTAAATAATCCATTCACTTTGAATTTGTAGATACTTCCAGAGTTGAACGCATTAATGAAGATTATCATGCACTCTGTTCTTCCTCCAATTTTTGCATCATTTGAGGACTGCAATGCAGACTTCTAGCAAAACGTGTGACCTGCTATAAATTCACTTCTCACAATTTCATGGACAATACTGAAGAAAATGGAGCACATGCAAAGAATCTCTCTCCTTTTCCTTTTGTTACTGGAGGCTATCACAAGTTTGGAAACTTATGGAAATTAAATCAATTTCATCACTTTACACATAATTAATAAATAACTCAAAATAGTGAAAAATTAGTTTGAAATGGTATGAATAATACTAATTCCAGACAACTTTTGTACTGAATCAAAACTGCCAAAGTTATTCTGCCAATTCTTTTAAAAAGCAGAAATAAACTTTGCTACGGGTTCAGAGTGATCTCTGGTGATTAAACATGTTTATTTTAACATCTCCTGAAGCGTCTAAAAATGTTTTCTCATGAGTTCATTTCAACACAAAAAGAAGGATACAAAAACTCTATTTACTTGAGCAGGGGAAGAAGAATCGATTTTTTAGATATTTTACTCAGAGCTGAAGACATTTTAAAAGACCCTGAATAAAATAAAGAATTGTGGTTTATGTTGGCTCAATTTACCAGGTTAATTTTTTTGTTAAATTTCACTTAATGAGCATCTAGATTACATATTGAGTGAATATGTAATTGCTGTTAAAAATGTGTTTGCCAAATTTATCTCTCTGTCTCATTGTTTCGCCCACCTTCTCCCTCAGAATTCAAATCCAATAATATATTCACAGAAGGTGAATAATAGATGCTTTCTAAACCTGAATGAATATGACTTTGAGCAGTGTATATAATATTGCGCATTGAAAGTATTTTAAATCCTAATTTGATTTTTCATCAAGTACCCACACAAGAGGTACTTAACCAAGATTTAACAAATAAATTCCAGGGTCCTTTTGCCTTAATAGTTCTATTGTTCTTGCAAATGTCTGCAAAGATCAGTACATATTTGAAGGGGTCAGACTACTGGTAGCAATAGAAAATGTACAACAGCTGAAGGATCCCTGTGGGCACATACTGAGGCTTTGTCATGTTCTTCTAAATATTCAGCAAGGTATCTTTAGAAAGTAACATCCCTAAGGTCTACTACAACCTGTCACTTATACCCGGTGGCCTTGGTAAATAGCTCTTTTGTACAGTGGTCTTCAAACTGGGCATATGAATTCTTTGCAAACACTCCAGTCTTCATGATTTGAAGTTATTCTTAATATAGTCCCAGTTTTGAGATAATGTTCAAATAAAATATTTTAAAAAATAGAGTTTCCTAAGAACTTGATAGTTTAATTTTGATAATACACTGGCTTTTCAGTTGGTAACAATGGTCTACCTTTCGCAATCATTTACACTGCACGCAAATCATCCAGAACTTTTCAAGCCCCCTAGTAAATGAAAAATCCATAATTACTTTTATTTACTCATAAAGGGGTGATAGAAGAATTACATTTCAACTGAATCCAATTACATGTAACATTAAGATGGATGTTCTCCACTGAAATACCATTTATGTATGTGACTGAAACATTTTTTCACAGTGGCCATCTTTACAGGAAACCTGTTCAGAAGTATGTATTTTTGCTGGTCCCCTTATCATTTCAAGTAAAGGAGAACAAACTTTCGTCACTTTCAAATTTACTCAGTGTCCCTTCTCCTCACCTCCAAACTCTGGTTCATTAGGAAGTAAAAATTCCAGCAAAAATACACAAATGACAGTAAAAAGTCCTGCTTTATAACTCTTGATCAATCTGCCGTCATCCATGAGAAGGAATTTTAATTTTGGGCTTTTTCTTTTTAAATTGAGATATAGTTGACCAGAATAGTTTTAAAGTAATGTTACTGAAGAAGAGATTTTAGAATTAGCTTTTAGTTTCATAAGAAAAATATTTACAAATAACCTCATTCTTCAGGCGTGATTGGAAGTCTGAGTATTTTTTTCTTTTTCTTTTTTACATTTTAAAAAGGACAGGTTTATTAGGAAAAGGAGAAAGGAGAGCAGAGAGCTGCTTGTGCTTTTGACAGAAAGAAGTTTGTGAAAAGAAACCTTTTTCATAGACACATGCATAGACATGAGCAGGCAGTCTTGGAATAGAGCAGCCCAGAAATGTGAGTTTATTTCTCATTCCTGGTAAACATTCTTGAACAAAATAGGAGATAGCAGATCTGATGAGATGAGGGATGTTGAAGAGTTTTATTTCCCTTACTTAATTTTTTGAAGTTGTGAATTGTGATTTGAGATATATCATGTGAGAATGAGATATCTGAATATTTTAGAATGTAGTTAAAGAAAGTTGAATTATTTTATATTTTGTAAAGTCAAGGACTCCTTTTTCTCATCTTTTCTATTGCTTTTAATTCTGAAACACCGGTTTTATAAAATTTCCAATAAGATGCAACAAAAGATTAATGATGTTATTTATCACTGCTGCTTCCTCCTTATACCTGGTCCTTATCATTTTGGAAGCTATTTTAAAGCAAGAAATTGAGTGTTCCCATCAGAAAAAGATGCCCAGAAAACAGTATTCTCACACTTTAGTGTGCCTAAGAATCTCTGTACAGCATCATAAACTATACTTACTGGATGATTTGAGGGATTTTGGAGAATAAAATTGATTATACGAAGATTTAATTTTATACACTTAATACCCATCACACCTAGTAGGCAACCACTCTACTGTACTGCTTTTCTCTTTAGACCTTTCTCATCAAGCAGAATAATTTATAAACTTTCAAACAAAGCTTTATAATTTCCAAGTTCAATTTCTTTACTAGGTATTGGAATATTTCAGACTTTTAGGAAAGCTATCTGTTCCACTGAACTGCATTCCAAATGTAGAGAGTTTATGGGGTGAAATAAGAGTGTTTCTCTGGAATGTGAAACATTTCAAAGGTACATCAGACCTGATCTCT